CTTCGACACTCATTTCGGCTCGTTAAACTTAGCAAACCACTTCTCAACGGTTGATTTTCCTGATGCAAAGTCCGAATAATATTTATCAAGCCAAGCCTTGGCTTCAACAGTATTTTTTTCTAATAAAAAGCAATGTTGCTTTTAAAATTGCAATACTGGAAAATTTACATACATATCTTTTGAAGGTTAATCCTAGTAAAGCCATATTTCTTAGCCTACGGACTTTTCTACCCAACTGTTATACTCATATATATAAAATAGAAATATAATTTTTTCTTAATATATGTTACCTTGTAATACTGTATTAAAATATACGTAAATATTAATTCCTCTCTTCAACCCATTTTTTCATTCCTTTAATGTTTGTAAATTTTAAAAAAATAGTGAACAAAACAATAGTGAACAAATCTAGTGTTAAACGAATTTCTAAATGAATTCAATTCTTATGACAATGCATAAAAACACTTGCAACACTTCAAAAATACTTATAACACTGCATTCTAACACTGCTTTTCCTGATCTGAAACAGAAACAAAAACAAAATTATAAACGTAACAGTTACAAAAACAAAATTATATACGTAACAGTTACAAAAACATTATTATAATTATTGAGAAAATGTTTAATATAAAAATTGACTTACGTTTATTCTTTGTTGATGAATGCACGATGGGTATCCTACCCTTAAGATGACGATGAGCACACGTTTAAACCGAATAAAAGAAACCTGCGAGTTTCTTAACCGAGCAAACGAAACTTTAACATGCGACGATCAACACACGAGTATTTCATTGCCTACACGCTCGATTGCAATGATTTTCTGAAACATAACAAGAAAAAGAACAATTAATATCATTGTTGTAATAAAAATCAATTGTCATTATCATAGAAAATGCTTGATAGTAAAATATACTTACTTTTAGTCTTCGTTGATGACTGCAGGATGGGTATCCTACCCTTAGGATGACGATGTATAAAATAAAATTAAATAAAAGGTCTGAAAAGCCGAAACATACTAAAGACTATATTACAATATTTCCTGTAAACCATTTCTGAAGGCAGGGCACACATTAAAACCATTAAATATTTTTGATAAAATATTCAATGGTAAATAGAAAGAAATAATTTAATAATCTATGAGAGTTKACATAATTAAAAGTTAAAGTTATTAAATATTTGTGAAATTGATCAAAGTATGCAACTATTTGCTTGCAATATTATATACCAAGTATGTAATGTTAGTATAAATATTAATTAAAAATCTTTAAAGTTGTCTAAATAAAACAGTAATTGTATCAGCAAACTCAGTAAAGACTAACATAAAAAGTAAACCAGTTTTTATACCATTCTATGTAATAAAAAACTTTTTAAACTATTAAAATCAAAATGATAACGTTAGAAATAAAATTATTAAATAATTTAATATGCCTCATTTTCGTTTATGTTGTCTTGTCGAAGGATAGAAGGCGAATAAGAGGTATGTAGCTACGTAACCTTAGTAGAGGAGATCTTTGGAGTGTCGAACGCTCGGCTATTATATCTATGTTATCGTCTGTTTACGTTTTGTCGTCGACTTGAGAAATTCCTGTAAATATACATACATTTATAATAGCTTAAATACCGAATGTATTGTTTTCTTATTCTTCCTCTCTTTCTCTCTCTCTCTCTCTCTCTCTCTCTCTCTCACTCACTCCTTCTCTCTCACTCTTTCTGTAGTATTTCTGTATGCCAAATATACTTAAACAAAAATAATGCTTACCTCGACGTATATAGAGAAGATAAAAAAACTTGCCACAAAGTTAAAATGTTAGGTATGTGAATTCGTGGTGTAACTCTCCCCATGCTCAGAAAGCTAAAAAAAAAATAAAATATGAAAACACTCATGTATAAAAATCTTGCATGTAGCCATCATTTCATATATAATATTTATTATATATCATTTGATATATAACAGGAAGGTGTAGGGTAAAAAATTAATTGAAAAGATTACCTGAAATTAACGGGATAACAAAATTCGTTGCAACTAGTACACGAATAACAGATGAAAAAATTCGAAAGGTTCGCCATATTGTAACGAATAAAAACGGTGCATAAAAAAGCGCGTAATTACGGCGTGAATATAGTGTGCTAATATACTGCGCCATACTTTTTTTCCCCCACTTATAATAAAGAGAAATTTCAAATGATTAAAAATACGATATAAGAGCATACAAATTATCAAAATATACTCAAAAAATCAAAATTGATCCTTACATCCTTTATATATTATAATAGGAAGATGAAAACTTTACAAAATATGTTTTAATTACCTGATTTTAACGGGACAATAGCACTCCGATGTCATCTTCACGAACGACGCCAAGGAACTAAAGAATATGGACAGCGGATTGGATTTGATTGGCTAATTCATTTTTTTGCATTTTTTGAATAGAATATGACCAATCACAGCTTCCTACACCGACTGAATTTCGCTATCTTTATGACCGCGATATTCAAATTACATATGCTAATTTATTTATTAAATATTATTAATTAAAAGTCATTTCTAATTCTTTTTTTAAAATGTACACGTAACTTATAAATATTCTAAAAATACTGAATAGAATAAAGACAATGTAGACATTACAAAAACTTTGTCGTTTCGCATAAAATAATACAATCGTATAAAAGAGAATTGTCGATGTAAAAATGGCCAATATGAAATGCAGCATATGAAAGAATAAATTTCCAAAATCTGTATCGATAAAAAATCCTCACAATTTAAATACTTTCCGAGATGCATAAGATGTACATTGTTTCAAAATGTTTACAATAACGTTTATACATGATTCACACGAAGATCATTCTACATGATTTTCTATGAGATGAGATACTGTTTTTAGTCTACATTCTCTTTATTTTGTTCATTATTTTTAGAATAATTATAAGTTACGTGTACATTTAATTCGTAATCGAAAAAAGAAACATAAATTTATAACATACCCAAATTATTTTCTATTTATTGTCCGTTAAAGCATATGAAATGTTTAAACCAATGCATATGTAGAAACAATCTGAAATGTAATTAGAGTATATTAGAATGATAAAATAATTGTTAAATAATTAATGTAAATGCATATTGTTATCTAAAAACTCATTACATATGATCTATGTACCTTTCTTTTCCAAATTCACCTTTTGACTGAGACATTATCCTCTATGAAAGTACTTTTATTCAATGTTGTTTATGTCATTTTCCAAATGTTGCCCATGTATGCAACGCAAATGACATTCAAAAAAAGAGAATTTAATATTATAACACACTAATTTTTACACTCTTTTCACTTTTATGCAATTACCATTTTTATTAAAAGCACATGTGTAACTTGAAAATATTATAATCTTATTACACAAGAGAAAACAATCATGTAGAAGAGAAACATCGTCAAAGAAATTTGCAAAACAATTGACAATCTATCACTTGCCACCCGTATAAAAATAAATTCCTATTGTAAAGGCGTGTTCTTACGTTATTGATACGGATAATAGAGATTTATTTTTGTACGGGTGGCAAGCGATATATTGTCAAATTTCTTTGACAATGTTTCTTTTCTACATGATTGTTTTCTCGTGTACAATGAGATAATGTTTTTATTCTGCATTCTTTTTATTCTATTCATTATTTTTATAATATTTACAAGTAAAAGTGTGTAAAGTACTAGTAAAAAGAGTGTAAAATTTAGAGAGTTATAGTCTAAATTTCCCTTTATTTTGAATGTTTTTGTGTTGCATAAATGGGCAACATTTGAAAAATAACCTAATCAACATTAAAAAAAAGTATTTTTTAGAAGAAAATGTCTCTGTCTAACGGTGAATCTCGAGAAAGAAGGTACATAGATCATATGTAATTAGTTATTAGATAACAAAATGCACTTATATTAATTATTTAACAATTATTTTATCATTCTAATATTCTCTAATTACATTTCAGATTGTTTCTATGCATATACATTGGTTTAAACATTTCATATGTTTTAACATACATGAAATAGAAAATAATTTTGATATGTTATAAATTTAAGTTTCTTTTTTCGATGCCAAATAAAATGTACACGTTATTCATAAGTACTCTAAAAATAATGAATAGAATAAAGAGAATGTAGTATATCTTATAGTATAGAAAATCATCTGGAATAATCTATGTGTGAATCGTGTATAAACGTTATTGTAAATATTTTTAAAACAATTATGCATCTCTGAAAGTATTTCAATTGTGAGGATTCTTTATCGATACAGATTTTGGRAATTTATTCTTTCATATGCTGCATTTCATATTAGACATTTTTCTATCGATAATTCTCTTCTATACGATTTTGTTCTTTTTTGCAAAACGACAAAGATCTCTTAATGTCTACATTGTTTTTATTCTATTCATTATTTTTAGAATATTTTTAAGTTACGTGTACATTTATTAGAAAAATAGAAATGATTTTTAATTTATTTAATAAATAAATTATCATATGTAGTTTGACCAGCGTGGTCATAAAGAAGGTCAGATTCTGTCCGTGTAAGAAGCTGTGATGACCCTTTTCATGTTCAAAAAAATGAATTAGCCAATCACAGCCAAGCTTTCGTCCAAATTCTTCAGTTTCATGGCGTCATTCGTGGAGAACACATCGGAGTGTCATCGTCCCGTTAAGATCAGGTAATTAAAACATATTTTGTAAAGTTTTCATCTTCCTATTATAATATATAAAGGATGTAAGGATCAATTTTGATTTTTTGAGTATATTTTNTCCTATTATAATATATAAAGGATGTAAGGATCAATTTTGATTTTTTGAGTATATTTTGATAATTTGTATGCTCTTATATCGTATTTTTAATCATTCGAAATTTTTCTTTATTATAGGTGGAAAGAAGATCTACTGCGCATCATTTTCGCGCATGCATTATTTTCGCGCCAGTCTAACGCGCCTGTTTTATGCACTGCAATATGGCGATTCTTTCGAATTTTTTCATCTATCATCTGTATACGTGTTGCAGCAGATTTTGTTATCCCGTTAATTTCAGGTAATTGTTTCAAATAATTTTTTAAATTACACCTTCCTATTATCAAATGATGTTATATATCAAATGATATATAATGTTATATAATCAAATGCTATGTACCAAATACTACATGCATAATTTATATACGTGTTTTCATATTTTACTTTCTTTTAGTTTTCTTAACATGGGAAGAGTTATAACACGAATTCACTAATATTTTAACCTTGTGGCAACTTTTTTTATCTTCTCCATATACGGCGAGGTGAGCATTATTTTTYTTAAATATAAGCATATAAGCATATAGAAATACTAYAGWAARAGTGAGAGAGAAGGAGTGAGAGAGAGAGAAGAAGAATAAGAAAACAATACACTCGACATATAAGTTATTATAAATGTGTATTTTTATTTCCAGGAATTTCTCGAGGAATTTTCTTCGTCGAATTTCCGACGACAAAACGTAAACAGCCGATAACATAGGTATAATAGCCGAACGTTCGACACTCTACGAAGGTTACGTAGTAACGTATCTAGTATTCGTCTTCTATACTTCAACGAGACAACATCTACGAAAATAAGACGTGTAAAATTATTTAATAATTTTATTTCTAACGTTATCGTTTTGATTTTAATAGTTTAAAAAGATTTTCATTGGATAGAATGGTTTAAAAACTTGATTATTTTTTATGTTACTCTTTATTAAGTTTTCTCTGATACAATTACTGTTTTATTTAAACAACTTTAAAGATTTTTAATGAGTATTTTAACTAACATTTCATACTTGGTATGTGTGTGTTAATATACTAATATGCATTTCTTTTTATGATTTCAGAAAGACTTTCGCTATCGTTCCATGGAAATCATACTAATCGATGGTGTTATAATCTACTGCATACATACATGCAGATATATTTCTTTCTTTCTTTCTTTTCTTTCATTTTATAAATGCATCTATTTTTATATGGATCTCCGACGCAGCAACCTCCCAGTGGTGAGATCCGGTAACCGATATTGCTTATGATGTCCATAGAATTTATATGGTACAACGTAAGCACTGTCGGGCCAATGGCTGACGTTCGATGCATTAGAAAATTTTAACTTTTTGCATCATTAATTAAATTGTAATGTGAATGAAACGATTCATTGAATTAATTATTTAATTACACGTTGCAATTGTTGTTTCAATTTTATTCATTTAAATTCATTTCATTTATCTTSGTATTAAATTCACATAAATAATTCAAGACACGTTCAATCGATTCTATAATTAATTGTTTAAATGATTATTTATAAATATTGTACCTTGTTTAGTTTTACATTAATGCTATATCTATTCTTTCCTATAGGTATTCACGCAATTAGCATACTTCTGTAAAAATAACCCTATCGCGATKAAATATATTTTTTGAAAGATAGAATGCAATGTGATATTTGTTCGTTTGTATTKTATATTATTTTTCATATAGTTTAAAAGGTTGTGGTTACATCATKTRAATTCTCTTTTTTATATTAATAATTAAAACATTAAAATAATAGTACAATTCCAGAATTTTTGGAATATGTAATTTAAATAATTGAATTTTAAAATGAATAATATATTTTTTATTAGTAACGTAATAAATAAACAGAAGTACGCTACGACTTGCTTTAACTAAACTTTCATTTTCAGATCTTCAATTGTGATTGCGTGCAATGCAATCTTTTAGAGTCAGTGTTTGTTTCGAACGAAGTTACATTTTTTCTATGCAATCGCATAGATTGCTTTAAAAATAATTACTAAACTCGATCACATTTAAAATCAATGCAAGAATTTATTTCAATATTCTTGTTAAATGAAAAATAATTTG